CTGCGGGCCCCTTGGAACATCAGCAACAGCAAGAAGGCCAGTAGCCATGTGCTTTTCGAAATGTTTGCGATTCGACCGTGCTAAGCAAGATTCGTGATACGTTGACGACATGCTTTAAATGTACAAGACGTCATGACTGCCAATGTAGATTCCGGTTTCATTTTTAAAGTTGGTTTTGTTTTCTGGTCCCAGGTTCAGCTGCTTCAAGGATTGTCCCCAGTGGTTCTGGTCTTCAATAACGTGGGTAAGCTCCAGAGGCCAGATTCCTTGAACTGCAGTCTAGCTGTCTAGCCTGCACTCATCCCTTATGTCTTCTTCTATTCAACTTTACAAAGACAGTCTGCCCTATGATCCTCCTGTGCCTTCTCAACCACATGCCCATGGCGTCATAATTGGATCTATCAATCTGGACAAAGGACATTTCACAGTTGAGGGAATCGTAGATCTTCTCGCACCTCCACACGTCGGTGCCAATGAAAAAGCAATTCTCAAACCTCTGTACATGGAAAGAGTTTATTAAGGAAGAGCATGCAAGCATGTATCGAACGAGGTGTCGATTTGTTGCCTGTTTGAATAACAGTTAATGCTCAATGCTTCTTTTCTGATCGATGGTTCAAGACCACGATTAAAAAGGACTGTGTAAAATCCTTTAATTTTTTGACGCCCTCCTTCGCCATACACAATCATTATCATCAGGGTAATAGTATGCAAGAATGCGACCATCGACAGGGAAGCTCGACAGTTCACAAGGAATCAATGTCAGCTGATTCAGAAACAAAGTGTTCTAAGAAAGAGAAGAGACCTACCAAAGAATGATCAGCTGCATCATGAAGGAAGTTTAGAGTCAAAAAGTCTCATTCAACAACCGAGATTCCGCACTACAAGTGCAGTGCTGACCATCAGGATGTATGTCTAGAGATTGGACAATGCTTTCGAGGCTTTGACTACAGTTTTTCCCTTGGATTCAACTCTAAGGATTTGGAATGCCTCCTCTTTGTAGAATGATAACCTGCATTAATTGTCGTTCAGAAACATCCTAATCCACCTCTTGCTTACCTCCACTTACCTCTGTCGACAACATGGCAACCTTTCGATGTTTTGTCCGGCTAGACAAGGTTCAGCTCTGACAAGCAGTGACTGGCGGACTCTCCAGCAGAGACCTACAGTAATTAAGTATTCCATTAGAATGGTGATTTTTCTAAGCTATTCGCCACATCTTCATTATCGCGTAATGAAAAGCGCGTGTTTCGGTCAATGTGCGGCCAGCGGTAATTTGCTTACATTATTCCGTATTTATTAATCAGAATGAAGACGAACTAAACAATAGAACATGTCAAAGTTGAGGTTGTAGCTCCACCTTGAATTCGATGCCATTCTGAGTCGGACTCATTCTCCAAAGAACCGAAAACGCTGCCTCAGGAAAGATATCACGCTTTCTTTCAGACAACCATAAAAAATGGGATGGGTTCTAGTAACTTTCAGGTCCATCGTGAGGCAAGACAGGGCGAATATTTTTTGAATATAATTAAGTAACTTAAATCTCAATCGATATTTTAAAAGTTGTACTTTTGAGTCCATGAACCAACGGATATAACATGGTTGAAGATTGTACTGAGACGTTTGCGCACAATCTTCAGTATACACATAGTACTGCAATGACTTTGGACAATCATGGAAATTGCATCTTTCAAGATCAACAAGAGAAGGCTTAAACTCACGATGATATTAAAACTTAGCAAGTTGCTCAATACTGCATGCGAGGGCTATACGATGTAAAGACAGTGAATACACTGGATATTGCAGAACTAGTTTGCTACGATCGAAAGAATTTCCGGAAATCCAGAATGGCACAGCAAAGATAAAAACACGGATGGATCGAGTAAGGCATCGAGACAGTCAATTATGTAGATAGCTGTCTATGCGGATGAATGGCAAGACGTTTTGAGAGAAGATATGAAAACAGTTGAAACCTCAGAAGGATTTAGTATGAAAAAAATTTGAGCGGAGCTCCAAAATAAAACAAAAAAAAAGAACTGACAACAAATTAAAGAAATTAAAAGTTTGAATCGTTGGGAAGCACACAGTCCTAGTGTTCAACTAATACTGTAACCAAAAACTCAGAATCAGAAAACGCATGAAATGGGGTTGAGGTAGAGTTTCACACAATTCGCATAAGACCTACCTCACCAAGGATAAGACCGCAAAAATTTTGCTCATATGTTACGACTTCCCTGACAGCCTTTCTCGCACAGAAGCATGTCTAACGATCATTTCCTGAACAGCAGATACACCGTAGGCACGCAACTTCGCAAAAGGATAGCAACCGATTAGCATTCTATAAAAACAGCACATTTACATCGTTTCACAAGGGTGGTAGTGTATTTGATTCTAGTACTATACGCATTTCAATCATTGCAGTTGCTGCTACTTATCCTGTGCCATAAGACTAGGCTCAAGAAACAATCAGTACGTATTCCTTTATTTTGTATTAAACCGCATATCATTGGATGAAGAAATGTCCTGAAATGTCTCGGTCCTGAAGTGATTCAGCAAAATGGTAGATCGCTCTACGGTTCAGCACTGGAAGATACTATCCAGCAGCATAGAAACTATTATCTAGGTGTTCCATATTCTATGCTCATTAACCATGATCTATTGTAAAAATTTGATTGAGGTTCCATGAACCGGAGAATGGTCGAGCCCTCGCTTACAGTATTTTTACATCATCAAATGCATCATCGATTTTTTGTCATTAGTTTCCATATAAAAGGTTTCGATGTTCGAAAATATGTTCATAACAGACACATCAGAGTTTGGCGCCTAGACTTAGAGCAACGCCAATACTTCAGCTTGTTGAGAATTGAGTCAGACGGTTGCTAGCCGTACACTGAAAGGCTTCCATTCAGTGACTCTGTCAGTGAGGCTGGGTTCTGCCAGAGCACTGACACTGGCGTGATATACGAGTAGGTCATGGAGTCGATACCTGAGTACAGTTCCGCAGTGCTTCTGAATTCCAGAGCCATGGAGCTTCATTAACGAAAGCTCAATCATGTCCAGTTGGTACCTTATCAACTCGCTCTAGCTGTTTCTCTCTGTGTGAGGAGCTGTCACGGATTTCTAACTCTAAACTCATACTGTAGTTGTCGTTCTCATGGAACCTTCTCTCATGTTGTCAGCTTCCTCCGTTCAGAACGGGAAGCATCGACTCTGCTGCAGACTGGTATGTTCGTCGTTTTCATGTAATTCTTCGATATCCGTCGCCTTGTTGTTACCTTCCCAGCTGCCGGAAAGCGCAGGTTCTCACAGATTCTGTTGGCTGACTTTTCGCAGTTTCCCTGACCCCCCTCCCCACCCCAGCAACCTGCACAGCCCTTGATAATTGATAACGACGACCCAGTTGGCATAACGTGCCACTGCGTCAATGCGAAGAGGAGCAGGTGTCTAAATTTCAGGGGAGACGCGAAGGTTTTCAACCCTCCTTTTCTGAAATAATCAACTTATTTAAGAATAAAATTAATTCATGATTCAAAGCTTTCGTATATCGAACATAGGTTTTTGTAAATTTTCCAAAACAAATGAACTGCATGAATGTTTGAGACATTTGCATAAAGAATTCCCTTTACTTGACCATATCAGCCGTAATTGTCATCAACCGCAGAACTGCAGTAAGATAATCAATTTAGGCTCCTCGATTAAAGTATCTGATGTGATGTGACTATGTTGTGATGCCTTCAATATAATTCTGCCTTGATACTGTAGTGTAAGTGTTTATTTTTTTAGCTATGAATCATTTCCTACCAATTTTGATCATTGTGCTGTCTGCCTATCGCATCGTCTTTTGCGATGATGAATGCGTCACGTTTCACGGCAGGGTAGTTTGCAAGAAGAAACAATTTCTGGCATTTTTTACCAGCTTAACGATTAAAGACTTGGCTTATAAGGATCTGATCCTGGGGTAAGATCTGATGGCATGCGATGCACCGAACGATATTCATAGAAAATATTTGTAGAAGAAATTTTACCAACCGAAAAGGTTTCTACGTTATTTCCGGTTGTGTGCCAGAAACATATTACTCAAAGCACGCGGATCACAAACACGAACCGTACATAGAAATCTATCACATCTGCAACTCACTCGTAGGCGAGACGTTGATCAAACGCGTACCGTTTAAAGGAAGGCACGAAATGACCCAACTTGAAGACATTGTGCTGGACAACAATGCTCCTCTCTGGCCAGGGCATAAAGCGTACTTTTCCGGATTCGCTTCCTGAGAACAGCTTTCAAATTGTTCATCGGTTATGCGGGCTGTTCGAACGGCAAGAAGCCAACGAATATCACGTTCATTTAATTATACTTGCTTTGTCTTAAACACCATAAATATTACGGAAAACTAATAAACTTATATTCGTTTCAGCGAAAAAATTCTGTTGTTCGTGATTTGCTTTAATGTACTACGGAAATTGATTTATTAGTAGAGGTCGCAATAAGACTGCGAGAAACTAAGAATCCCAGGCATCCGACAGCTGCCAAAACGTATGAAACGTGACAGCGCCTTATTTATCGCTCCTCAACTTTTCATCTGATTTCGACTGTCTACAGAAGAAGTTTCTTCCTGCTTGCCACACAGCAATAGCAGTTAGGGGAACATCTGTATGTACAAACGAAACGTCGTCTCCATCTTCGCCTATGGGCAAATATAGTGCAGATTATCAGCGCATGAACAGTCCCACGATCTTTTAGAAATCGCTCATTTTTGGAGCAGAACAGCTTCAGCTGCCGGTAGCCATGGCATAAAGCTACCTACCAGACTAAAGCCAAACTGTGACGGGCTCGTAAGAGTCATTACGCGGCGACACGGCTGTGATTCGCTGTGACCTTTTCCTTTCTAGACTGAATCGCTTTGTATTCACTTTTTGACGCTGCATTTGTAGTCACTAAACAGTAGTCTCATTTTCAACGGCCAGTTAGATTAATACAATACTTTGATTTTCAGGCAAATCTGGATTCAACCTGTTATTGACAGTGTAAAAATATTTCATTTTTGTAAAAAGTAGGCAACGACAACAGATTTCATGTTGCGGAATAATCGACTACCATTTAACAATCGTTGGCCTTTCGTCTAGTACGATGGTACCAACGTGATTAATCGAATTTCCAGGTCGGATCGATGGAAAGGTTACGAGTGTTTCGCCTTCTGGTCGAGTACAGTAATGAAAAATCTTCAGGTACGGATCAGGACGATTCGTGTATAACCGTGTATCGATATCTGCACCGCATCCGTTTATGATGAAATATCCCCTCTGATCCGTTTTCACGGCCCTGCAAAATATGAACCAGTATTTAAAAATAATATTTCAAAAATGTACCCCATTTTTTCATCAAAGTGATGAAGTAATGGAATATCCTTGTCCATCATTTCTACGGTGACATTCGATACTTTGCTCATGTCTTTTCCGCATTGCACATTTCCTTCCACCGTGAAACATTCGTAAGAACAGAACGCTGAAGAGACAACCGCCGCTATGATGATCATCTGTGAAAGGCAAGATCCCATTCTAAACAGAGAAGAAGTGTGACGTACTGCAAAGAAATACATTGCAGTTCCAATTGATAATGCAATCACACAAAAATCAAAAGTTTCAATTGACTTCATCAAACAGGGAAGATCACTTAGAAACTGATAAGTCAGAATTCGTCACTGTAATCACAACCTACGACCAGCCTTAATAAAATTCACCAATTTTTTTGAGTCTGATGAAATACACCGTCCTTACCTACATAAATTTGTAACATAGCATAGTACATATTGCATAACTGATCAGGAATATAATCCCTATTTAACATTGCTGCTGCACCTTGTCCGGATGAAGGTATGGTCTATGTAGCGAAACGCACCAGCAACAAACTGCTAGCAACATTTGCTTTATTCCGTGCCCTGAATCATGAACCGTTCAAACACTATTTATATAACTATCCATCCAGAATCAAAAAGCCTTAAGTATTATTTATAATTGATTTGCTATTCTTACTTTCCAACTATCTTTAATATCAGAATTTAGGAACACTCGCTATTAAAAGCAAAACTGAATCAAATACTTAATAACGGGAGATCAAGGTCTCCAAGTTTCTTCTGAGACAACGATTCGCCGTTCAGATGATGGCAAACTTTGAGAAATTAAATCGAGATCATTCATTAATTCAAAAAGCGCTGTCGCTTCAACAAATCCGTACCGACTTCATGAAATTTAAGCGTGTTTTTTATTAAAGAAGGGCAACGCTTTGAAAAACGCCGACCGATACACTGAAAACAAGCTCTCTGCGATTGGACGGTTCAAATGATCGAAACCCAATTCACTGCCTCTCAGAAGTTTTCTCTCAGGTGTCGATTTACAGCTGACTAATCCTCGAGACTCTGCCATGAACCTTCGTTCACTGATTGTGTGTTTCTTTCATCGTCTGGCTTCAGGTTTCATGATACAGCAGTGATTCTTCTTCTTTTCTGCTTTGCTTCCTTCAATCCATCTTTGACCCTCTTCCTCCTTTGATCTTTCTCTTTGTACCGTCTTTGATTTTTATATACCATTTCTTTCAACATTCCCTTTTATTATTTAGCATTTTAGTAGTACCTTCTTGACTAATTACTATGAGTTCTTTACTCAGTTCTCCCCCCCCCCACCCCCACCGATTATCCTTATTGTAATTCATGCAAAATATTGGTCACA